GTCACAATCAGGCGTCTGACATTGTCGCTTAAAAATCAGCTTGATGCATTATTCAAATTCGCATTTCGTTACCGTAACAATATGAGCTTAGTACTGAAAGATATTCCTCCGCTATGGTGCAGGAATTCACTGCAAAGTTACAATTAGATTCTTTTTCGTCGTGTATCGTTTTCAATAGCTATTTAATTGCTTCTCATCAACGGCGCACACGTTTTTTCTTTGTCTTGCTTTATTTTTACATCACCAAGACTACTTTACTTCGTGTCCGCCCCCCCCCCCCCTTTTTTTTCGCAGCCGATTTCATATCTTGACAGCCACATATCACTTCAATCGTGAATAGGAGGAAAGAAACCGACAAGCCGAAGGCAAGGAGATTAACCAGAAAAGCTTGCAGTTGGTCGCCTTGCACAAATTGAACTGGAAGATTAGCGAAGGGTAATAAAAAGATGAGAGAGGGGGGAGAGAGAGCGAAAGAGAGATGGGGATAGGTTCAGATTGCTAAAATTCACTTCATCATCATTTCGTGCCTTGCGACACGTAAAACCACATAAGTGGTCAAGTTCACTCGAGATACAACAGCATTCTTTAGAGCATCCTTGTGGCTGATCGCCATCTGCATTGCTCTCATTCCTTTGGTTAAAAACTATGCGCTCGCTACTTTTTAATCCAAAATACTTTATATAGCACAGACAACATAAAGTAGGCTAGAACATCCTTGAATTGGGCTCACTGCGTTTGTGACCTGGCAGTACCGGGAGCGTGAACTCAAGGTAAGCAAAAGTTTGAAAGATCAATAATGATCACAGCTGCGTCGTTGAAATACTCGCGAAAGGTGATAGGCGAGTGAAAAGGTGAAATCGCGGAGGCCACAATACGAAAAACACGGGAGACGCTCGGCGATCCTGAACAACTTCTTACCGAAAACAGCCGCCGATTGGAACCACCTTCCCTCTTCCGTTGTATCAATAACAGACCCTTTGTTATTCAAGACTGCGATTTCTCAGCAATGCTTGTAACTATACGCAGTTTTCATTATCTATCTTTGTCTTGTATGTGCTTGAATTCTTATACATTTTTAGTTGACTTCTGTTGCCTTCCTGATTTGCGCATCTGATACTTGTTTCTTTATTTTGTCTTTTTTTCTTGTGTGTTATATATGTTGTACCCACCCCCTCTGTAATGCCCTACGGGCCCTGAGGGTATTCTAATAAATAAATAAATAAACTTATTGATAGCCGTGCAAATAATGAGGTTCCTTCATCTCTTGGGCACAAAAGCTCTAAATTTAGTAATGGGTCTAAAAAGGAACAGAAAAATCACTGCACGTCTATGACGTGAATGCTGATGATGGAGCGAAGGTAGATCCCAGGTCACTAATGACTACGCTGAAGTCACCGACTAGTATAAAAAACAGACGGAAGATACACAGATAGATGGACGGATGCACGGACAGATTAAGGTCTATTTATAAACCTCTATGCGCCCTATGAACGCTCAATGTACGGCGCATGTAACACCTGTGTTTTGGTCCGACGGGAAGCTACGACAACAGCATTTACAGACACCGTTAAAAAGAAGAAAACATTACGCGTAGTAAAACCACTAAACTACTTCTTGATACAAGCGCATGTACTGCAAGAAGTATTGCTAGTTTCCATAGCGTTGCACCGGACGTATGGAACGGAGTAAAAACACGCCTGCAACCATGAGCACCTAGTTTTTGTTCGTCCTTTAAAGCGTGCTTTACGGATAGCTTTAAAGCGCAAGACGAAGCCAAGTTCGAGATGCTGTCGTTGCGGGCATTGACGCAAGAATGAATGGTTCGTTGTGACAAGACCGAAAATGCGACATAGAAAAACGGGACCATTTTTTTTTGCTCGCGCCCATTTTAACACTCAACGTATATTTGCTCAACATCTGCTATTCGCTTGTATCAAAGTTTTGTCAGCGCATTCTCAAAAAGAAACGTTTACAACGATAACTGTCTCGACAGCCCGTACGAGGGGTCTTAAATTGACGCAGCACAGTTTCGCGATTCAATTATGTTACAGTAGACAGCACAGAGAGAGTCAGTACATGTAATTACACGTAAGTAAAAACCCGCAATTTGTCGTTCCTGTGAGGCACACATTTTGGCGTTGATAACTTGAGTGCTACGCTCAGTTATTGAACTGACGCAAAGCTTTCCGCAAACTTAAAAGAAAATTTCTAAGAACTGTCGTCGGTCCCTTTTCTTCGAGCTGTCGCCAAGTTCGAAAACCCGTTTTTGTAGACACATATTATCTCTTCGCAACGCTTTCTGTAAGAAATACATAGACAGTCCTTCTGCTCGCAGTACACCTTCTCTCGTATATGATGATGATGATGATGATGATGATGATGATGATGATGATGATGATGATGATGATGATGTGGGGGTTTAACGTCCCGAAACCACGATATGATTATGAGAGACAACGTAGTGAAGGGTTACGGAAATTTGGACAACCTGGGGTTCTTTAGCGTGCACCCAAATCTCAGCACACTCGCGCACATCTCATCATCCACCGGTTTACTATTTCAGTCTGACTTGTGCCTTGAATACGTTCGAATCAAAGATAATCTTCACCGCTATTCAAACCTTGATGAGCTGATCTTGAGCGTCTAGAGAAACAATCGTGTTGACAAATAATATGCTCGTTTAATTTCAGCCCATTCTGCAACGCGATCGTAAGAGACGTGCGCCAGCAGTCAAAGCAGCTCCGTGGGATTCTAAGCCTCATTTCACATTTTCATTCTCTTTATTCATATTTTTTTCTTATTTTTAGCCTGCGTTCGCTCTGAAATCCGGCGCTCTGAATCGTTAGTGAAGACTGCAGCCCTGCAGCTTATGCGTCTATCCGGCTACGCTTCCGGTAGTTGCGTATTTCGCTCTTCTTTTTTTCTGTGCCTCAGTTTAAACAAAAATCATTGCCGGCTGACACTCGCGCCGGCGACGTTCGTACGGATCTTCTCGCTTGACTGAGCCGAGGTCGTTGGGGCAAAAACATCCCTCGGGGTTCGTCTGTCTCGATCGCTCTCTTTTGTCGACTGCTTCGATCTTTGACTCCGCGGACAACTGGTCGACGACTGGCGTGATACACGAGAGCAATAAAGACGTCGACCTTCCTCTTTAGAAAAAAAAAAAGCGCGAGTTTTTTCAATGGTCCTTTTTTCCGTATACCTCCAGCTTTATAACCACTGTGCTCCCTCAGACTGCCTGATGTCGTCGTGGATAACGGACGGAAATACGAAACGAAAGCTGCTCTGCTCTAGGCGTTCGTCTTCTTTTTTTCTTGTTTTTAATGACTCAAGAAATGTCATCCACTGAGCGAACGCCATTCAGCTGTGCGCGCTGACTGATAGAAATTGAAAATGTGTAGTCGAAAGGAACAGAACAAAAAGGAACAGACGCTTCATTTCTCTTTCCGGTAAAATCGGAAACGCGAAGCGTTCATAGAACAGGAGACTTGATCAGAGTCCAACGACCCCACTATCCTGAAAAAAAAAGAGAAAGAGAGACTGTCTGGCTTGGTCGGATGACTTTCGTGGTCTCTCCTAAAAGGAAAATCGGGAGTAGTGTGTGCGTGCGTATGTGTTCGTGCGTGCGTGCGTGCGCGCTACTCTGGAGGTTAAATAAGCAGTATCAAGACAACCTCGAAAAGCTCGACCGAGGTCCCTGGATGTTAACGCGAATGCTGGGTTCCTGCCCACGGGAACGTGGGCAGGAACCCGTCAAGCATGGTACTTCAAGAAAAACCTAGACGCCTAAGCACCGCCAGCAGAAAGAAGAAACGGAAGAAAAGCTATTTTCTAGTGCTGCTTCTTTCTGTTGGGGTTGCTCAAGCATCCAGCTTTTTCTCGAGTTTGCGTAACAACAATTCCATCGACATCACCTGCTAATTTTAACTTCTTGTTGACACACCGCCGTCAGCAAGGTTAACACGAACGTTCGGACACGTGGCCTCTTCTCGCTTCTACTGACGCCAGCGCCACCAGGCGTTGGACGCGGTATGTTTGTTGCAACTAACGATAGATGGAGCACTTGTCGATTTCACTTGCAAATTTCTGTTTCACTTGTGCCTAACCGGCGGGCCGAATACATTCACTTGGTTGGTTCGTTTTCGCCCCGTTTTTTTCGTGGCTATATACGTTCCGACGCGCGCCACGACAGAAACGAGGTGAATATGGGCCAGCCAAGTGAATGTATTCAACCCGCCGGTCAAGGAAAAGTGACAATTAATTTTACAAGCGAAATCAAAGCAGGCTCCATCTATCGTTAGTTGCTACAAACATACCACGTCCAACACTTCGCGGCGTTGACGTCATTCGAAGCGAGGAGAGCACACTAACCGTGCCGACAACTTGCTGTACATCGAATATTTAGGATTTCTCAGCAAACATTGATGCTTCAATGAAGGAAATGTGCCGCGCGTTAGTGCGCCATCTTTTTCGCATTTTACATTGTAAAGTCTCAGTGCATTCATCAATCAGGACAGCTATTACCCAACCTGAATATTCTTCTCTCTCTTTTTTTTTATCGCATATCTTTCCGCACTCGTTTGCCTATGGCATCTTTTCCCCCTCCCTCTCGTCTCAAGTAAGTGAGCGAATACGCTGGTTTGTCATTCTGCCTTTTAATAAAAAAAACTTTCTCTCTCTGAAATAAATCACCAGTCAGCCTAAGAGATACAAGGACTATTCAGTAAGGAAAGTAGGTAACAGTGATAATGATGACGACGGTAAACTTTAGTGAATTATTTAAGTAGGCGTTAAAATGGACGGGTGCAGCTCTCAATTTGAAACTATGGAGTGAAATCGAAGCACACTAAACGTATCTTGAGAAGGCGAGAACTGCGGTAAACAGGGTGAAAATAAGGCTTTACATTTTGTCCATCAGAATTCCTGCCCAAACTTCACCACCGAAGCCAATTATCTAGCTCCTCACGTCTTTTCTATAGCGCAGTTTTTCTTTCATGCAGATCAATGGCTCCAAAGCACTTCCGACCAGGAACCCGACGAGACGAACAAATACAGCCTGCCGTGGATGGGAACACCGCCGTCTTCTGGTTATTACCGCTGGCACGATGACCTCAGTGAGTGGAGTATTTCACACGCGTCATCATCATCATGATCATCATCATCATCCCTCTGACTATAGGCCCACTGCCTCCCGAATGTTTCGCCAATCAACCCGGTCCTATGCTTGGAGCGATCACGTTATACCCGCAAACCTCTCAACCTCCTTTGCCTACCTGATTTTCTGCCCCCGTTTCACGCCCTAGCCCAATCTTTAAATCCAGTCTGTTACTCTAAGTGACAGGCGGTTATTTTGGCTTCTCGTTGCACATCCTGCCCAGGCCCATTTACAAACTTCGATTAAAATATGCCCACTCTGCTCTCATTTTGCCCCTTCAAGAGTCCGCGTACGTTTGTTGGAGTGGCTCAATTATCAAAACTTAAAGAAGCAAGCCTAAGCGGTTCTTTCTATGTGCAATACCAAGCTTTTTTTTGCTTTACCCAATTAATTGACATTGTTTGATTTTTATTTCAGCTACAGTTACGTTTTACTTTAGTTACGGCATCTCAAAGTTGGCCTGCGTGCTTTACGAGCTTGCTGAAAGCAATTCTGGGAGCACCTGCTACTCAAGGATGCGGGCTGCCCTCTTTCGTATGGGCTAAATATGATTTTTCTCTTAAAAAAAACAACATCATCATTTTTTTGTAGAGTACATCAACATACGAAACTCTTCTTCATCGCATGCGCCGCATTTTATTTCTGTCTGTACAAATATATAAATAAAAACGAGTATTTTTATTGCAGTTTAAGAAACTCAGACGAGAACTCGCTACTACTCCACGGACCGACAAAACGTGTAAGGCCAAGAGAAAATGTTCAAAAAGGTTTCCCACCCCAACTATTTTTTTTTCTTAGCATAGTTTTATGTTTCATGGGAATGTCAATGTGACTGCTTAATCTGCTTTCTTGAAAGCGTTCGGACGAATATTGTATCCATTGTCTCCAAACAAAAACATAAAAATGTCTTAGCTAATAATAAAGCGGTAACGCCTCAAGATTCTCACGGTCCTACGACAACTGAATTTCAGCACTTAATTTGCTCCCGCAAGCTGTGGTACTCGTTAAACTAAAGTTGTGGCACTCGTTCCATTGAGACAATTGAAACGCGTGTAGAAACGCAAACGAAAAAGAAAAAGCAAAATTACCTTACGCCCTAAGGTCAGCCACCTCTCAGAAAAGAGAGCGTTCTTTCATCGCGCGAACTATGAGGGCCACGCGCCACCGATGAATTAAAGAATTCGAGAACTACAGCTTGCATATAAGCTGCGATTTAGCATATATATTAGGCGGTGACAAAGACCGACGCTTGTTACATACGAAACCTTCTTGAAGACCTTCTTACCCACCTGACCTTTAAGACAGGGAGGACCAAAGAAGAATTGCGAAAGTTTCGGACTTGAGATAAGAGTGACTCCTCCTTAGCATCATTAAGTGCCTCCACAACCTTGTGCTCTGTGTCTCTACGTCTCACTAATGTGTTTCTTTTGTCTATTCTCTTTGAGCGGATACTTAGTGCATGTATTTTTATTCTGTTTAAGTGGGTCCATAATCAATGTAGACACACACACAAACACACACATTCTCGCGGTTCGTCGTTCCAGATTGAAATTAAATGAAGAACATAGCCACTGGCTTCCTTGTCTCCCGTTTGCAATCGGTTAATTCAGAAACATAGCTAGCTGTATATAATCAGTGTATTCAACCTGTCACGCTATATTTAAAAAAATAATCACTCATATACAACGCAGTCACACATTCATGTTGATGATATGCGCAAGGGATAACGTGCATAAACGCAGCGCCCTGCACGTCACTCCCGTGTAGCTTGACGCTTCACAGTGTCGCATTACCTCGTCACTCATATAGATATACTCAAGTAGAGTATTTTCGACAGCTACCCCTGTATTTTCGATGTTTCGTCAGCGAAAAAAGAAAATGTGCTATTTATAGTCAAAGCTAGAGGAACGAACTGCCCTTTTGCTGCAGTGGAACAAAGAGTGCTTAGGAAAAGGAACGGTCGTCTGTGAAACCTTGTGGCGGCTCCATCCACAAGAAAAATCTAAATTCGCTTTGAAGCGACGCATCAGAGGTGCTGAAAAAGAAAAGGAAAAAAAATGAAGGGCTGAAAGTTCACCATTATGTGGCTGCACTTGACGTGAGGTCGTTGGACAGCTAGGTACTCTATCAACGTCTCCCTAAGCTTCAAAGTTTGACGCATGCGCGTCTGTACTCCGATGCTTCAAGAAAAATGATTGGTGAAGACAGCGGCTGTCAAAATAGCGAACATTTCTTCATGGTGTTTAGCGTGTAGAAATATTGCGGGCGGACACTGTTGAGCACAGTTGAAAGAAGCGCTAGTGTGGGTCTTTCTTCGTAACCTTGAGATAGAAAAAAGAAAAAGTTTATACGCTTACCATTCTAAGTTATAATAGGCTGCAGGATAGATACTAAAATTTAATAGCAGCGAAAGAGAGAATAGCTTCTTAACCCAATACGATTCGGTCAGTAATAGTGGTAGTAGTAGTGTTGTTATTAGCCGTGGTTTTTCTTTTTTAGGAGCAAAGCTCCTTAAGGCATGGGTCTGTGAATCCTCCGATGTATTTAGTAGTAGTAGTAGTAGCGGGTATGTGCCACAGGGGGTGCGAGATGGAAGAAGGCGGTACTTGGAGTGTTCACTTGAAGGACGCACGGACGGACGCGTGGACGGATAGACAGACTAGCATACGGACGGACGGATGGACGCACGAATGGATGGACGGACGGATGAACAGACTCACGGACAGACGGACGGACGCATGGATGGACGCACGGATGGTCGCGCGGACGGACGGAAGCACGGACGGACGGAAGCACGGACGGGCTGACGGACGCTTCGCCCCACTCGTCATCAATCACTCCGTGGATATGCTGTGATTTTTTGCGTCGCGCTTTAACACGTATGTCAAGGCACACGCGTGTATTGAAGAAATGTGTTCTAGGCATGCTTCGCCTTTTTTTTCACCGAAAATATCACAATCACAAGAGTGCAACATTTTTTTCGAGCCTGAAGCGACGAAATATAAATAAAGTCCTGAGACGTAGAACCTTCGGTTCACAGACAAATGCAGTAGCTGCACATAGATTCAACTCTGAGTGTAGCAAAAAATATTCCCGTAAGTTCCTTTTTATTACAACCGTTTTTTTAAACAGACGGGCGTAAATGTAACTCCTCTAACGACCGGCAAGGCTGGGACATTTTCAAATAGCGATCTTCATATCATTGCCGTTTGTCACGCAGTACAGGAACAGCTTGGGTTTTACGGCATGCCTCTTCGTTTTCTTTCTAGTTGATACACGTTTTTCAGTTAAGATCCGAAAGTACAAAACTGTTGGAGCGTGCCATATGTACTGAATCATTGAACAGAGCTGCCCCGCTAGAAGTGTTTTACGAGGCTGGCGGGCAGAAGGCAAAAAAAAAAAAAAAATCAAGAGTGTCTGTCTTATTGAAAAAAAGGGCGCAGGCGAAGCATTTCGTTCTAAAGGTGCCTGATGTGCTACTTTTTTTTTAAATCTTTCCATAGCATTGCACAATGCTACTTCCTAAGCGCTTCCTTGCTCCATGCCGGTGATTGGACTTTCATCCCGGTGCTTACTATATACTGTAAAATTTGGCGACGTAAAATGACAGCTCACCTCAACAAAAGATCAGACTGCCATTTCCTGAATGCACGATCATCGACAAGCGAACGAGCGAGAAAGCATGAATCAACAGATGACGCATACACGGCGAATCTTCGAGGAGCCCATTTTTTTGTGGTTTTCGGCGCCAGGTTTTCGCTGTTAGGACCGGGGTCTGAAAGAATCCAAACCCTGATGCCCAGTCGTTGCGGCTCGGGTCCGGCGGGTCTCGTCGAAGGCAACCGGACCCGTTTAGCCCATCTTGCAGGGACGAAGGCGCATTACTAGGAAGATATCTTACAGAGATTTATTTACGTGGATTTCGTAGAGGAGAAATCAAGAAGGGAGTTACATATGACAACCTCGTGTCCAAAAGCACCACGTCGAAAAGCTCTACATCGAAAATATCTCTATGCAGCCCGCAAGGGCTGGTTTTAAAATAGTCTCATCACCATATCCGTGGATTGGGGAAAGGGCTCCAAATTATACTGTCCAATCCCAAAACACACGCCATGTCCGACGGGGTCATCCGCACCCGCCCACGCCAGCGTCCTTGACTGGGGCGGAGTCACCACACTTCTACTGCGGCACCACGGTGTCCCATCGCTGCCGTCAGAAGGTGGTTGGGGTGACGGGTCTCCGCTCGTGCCGACGCATCAAAAGGGCAGCAAAGACGCCGCTTTTCCTTCCGGGAAAGATGTCACGACAGAAGCCCATTGTGGTCGATTGCGACGCCGGACTGCAGACCGACTTACTACCCGGCTTGTAATGACAATGCCCGGGCTTGAACGGCTTTCCGCAGGCAACAGCAGCCCCTCGGCGACTCGTTCGAACTACACTGAATGTCGCTCCCCTTTTCGGCCCAAGCGCCGAACCTAACATCGCGTACAACGCCACGAATGAAATATCTGAGAAAAACGGTCCCTTGGAAACAAGTCGGTTGTCCGCAGGTCATATGAAGCACCGGGTCTTGGTGGCGAAGACATGACTGGTGTCTTTCGTGATTGGCGGCGTTGTTGGCGGCAATACCGAGCGATATGCCCAGTGAAACCACAGTTGTAGCAAACGGGAGGGTCACGGTTTATACTATATTCAATGGAACGAATCCTGGGCCGCTGCTGTCGGCGAGGAAGTTCGTTATCACGCGAAGAACAGGTTTCTGCCACTCTCTGGAATTCATTGTATTCGTCGTAAGTTACATCTTGGTAGTAGGGTTGGTACTGTCCTTGCCGCAGCGGGACGTAGTCCGGCTGAGAGCCCCGAGTATAAGGATGTGGCTGTACTCGTCGTGATCGTGCGTCACAGGCCGGGTCTCTATCGTACAGACGTGGCTGATACTGAGGTGTGGCATCAGACTCCCCGAAGCCCTCCGCCACTCGGTGCGAGGAGAATGAAGCAACGTTTCGCTCGAACTCTGGTGGCTGATAGGGAGGATGAGTGCTTTTTGGACGGTTTGCCACTTGCGCGTACAGGCCGAGTTATTCACGTACTATTTGCCGGATTGTTGATGCAAGATCAAGCGCCTGGTTGCTGTCTATGCTTGCGATGTTCGTCACATTGGGTAGCCTGCCGAACTTCGGCGTGATGCGTCTCGTCTTTAGTTGTTCAAAAGTGCGGCAATGACGAATGACATCGGTGACAGATGTCAAGGCGACTTTCGCGATGAGGAAACTGTAAACATCCTCGGCGATTCCTTTTAGAATGTGCCCGACTTTGTATTCCTCAGACATTCCGGAGTCAATGGTCCTACATAGCTTTATGACTTCGTCAATGTATACTATAGGTCGTGCAAGTTTCACCTGGCATTTGAGCGCGTTGCATTAGCGTCTGTTCTGCTCTTTTCTTTATCATTGTTGGGTCGCCGAAACGCTCTTTGATTTCAGAAACAAATCTGTCCCACGTCGTTAGCGTTTCCTCCCGATTCTCGTACCACATTAATGCAGTATCCGTCTAAAGAACGCGACGTACAAAAGCTGAGAAGCGGCATCCCATTTGTTAGCGGCGCTCACACGTTTGTAATGGATGAGCCAAGCCTCGACGTCTTCATCTGGTCTGCCGGAAAAGGGACGAGCATCTCTCAGTTGTGGAGCTGAACTGGTCGGCGCAGAAGTCGAGAGGGGTCGGTGTTCATTTGCGTTGTGGGACATGTCCATCCCAGATGGATTCGGTGGAAGTCCAGCAATGCGACGGCTCCGTCGAAGAACTTGCGGTTCACCTTCCGTCTTCGGGTGTCGATTACCCAGCACGTCCACCACAACTGTAACAGCGAGGTGTGATAAGATGGTTTTATTTACAGGAGGTGAACGATGGTCGTTTGCGGCAGCACACTGCGATCGTGCCAAGACTCTTCGTCCTCCTCTGCTTCCCTTCTCTACCTTTTTCTAGTCTGTTACAATATGTAAGTTTCTGTGAAATAGTCTCTCTTTCGTTTTTTTTTTTTTGACGATCACTTATTTCTGTGACATTGGGCCCATCTGGAGCCGTTTGCCGCATTCGTCATCGTTTGCGCCCATTTCGAATCTTTACAGCGAAATTCCTCGAAATCTACAGACGGCATGGTATTCAGATAATGAACACAAACATAAAAAGTATAGCAATGAAATTCGTAGATTCACGGCAAGGAAACACGTTTTATGCGGAGAGAGAGAGCGTTATTTCCGAAGGTACGGAAGTTCGGGAGCGGAGGGAGGGGTGGGGGGAGACAGAGAACGATTGCAAAGCGACGTGGGACCCTCGAATCGTACCGTACGCTCTAACAACAATTAATGAGCGCAGGAAGAGGTCCTGGGCAAACGACCGTGGTCGAGCGAGGGATCGCGGCAAAGAATCGCCGTTATCGCTTCAGAACAGGCCGCCACGGCAGGACTCTCCTCAGCCGCGCGGGCGGGACAGCATCACTTCTATACAATAGTCTTCGAGCACAGAGCTTGTTCCGTGTCCGCTCTCCGACTCCGAACTCTGGCGCACTTTATGACTGGATAGCGTGAGTTATAACGCCCTATTGCAAGTTCTCTCATTTTCTCACTCACAGGCGAGGAGGGCCGTCGAGCTAATCGCCGAGTTTGCCGAGCGCGCGAACGAAAATGTTCTCGCGGCAAACGCCGAGCTGTATATGGACGAGAAGAACCTTAGAAGATTCTCTTCGTCCACGTGGCACAGAATGCCTGCACTGCGTATTCCTGCAGTGCACGCATTCTGTGCCACGTTTTACCACTGCGATAATATTTTAACGGAGCATTGAAGAATTACATAGGGACGTATCCCGCTACACTTGAGATAGAGAACATAGTGGAATTGTAAAGCTATAAATGAGGAGTTTTTTCAACAACTCGAGGCTGCAGTACAGTGGGATTGCAGGCTGTATGCCACGGGTAAACGCTCCTGCTTAATTATTATAGTGTGTTTTTGTATACAACGTGCCATGATTAAGCATTGCGCGTAAGCATATTTACATCTCACCTTAATCCGCACGATACCATTTTATCGAGGGACTCGAAAAGAGTGAACTTGTCATGGTCAGGCAAACGGCGGATGTAGAGGTAACGCAGAAGGATCTCCTACGTTGTTTAATGTAACCATGTGACTCTCTTTGCCCAAATTATAATATTTAACCAGAACCATGCATCTGACTAATTAAATATCGCACATTTGTTGATCTGCGTCAAATCTAATATACCTTAATCATTTTCCCTGCACCACCTAAGCACTGTAGCAGTGGAGTGGACAGCGTGGAATAAGCACACCAAGCAGGTCTGACTCGGACATAAATGTGCATTGAAAATAACAAAGCAGTTGACAAGTCAGCGCTCGTTTGTGTCGTTTCTTTCTTCTGTGGAACGTGTTCTGTGTTGGCGATGGCAATTTTAGTTCAAAGTTGTGTACCAACTATAGGCTGCAATGAAGTTTGATTGAACTAACAACAGTTCGTGAATGGATAAAGGCACCATAAAGAGAGCCGTGACACACACAGATCATTAACATCAAAAATGCTGGCGAAGCCAGTCTATTCCGAAACTTCGTGGGAAAAAAAAATGAAGAAAGCCTTATGGATTGCCTTAATTCTTTCGTTTCTTACAGCTGTGGCGTATGATTACCGATTGATTGATTAATTGATTGATTGATTGATTGATTGATTGATTGATTGATTGATTGATTGATTGATTGATTGATTGATTGATTGATTGATTGATACGCAGTGCGCCGGTCTCTCAGATCGACGGGCGGCCGCTACACGGCGGGCGAGTTGGTCGAGATGCTGCGCAGGTTGGCCGCGTCTAGGAAGCTGCGACAGGTGCGCGTCGCCAACAAGGCCATCCGGTTCGGCATCAGCAAGAGGTCCCTACGGCAGCGCTTCTAGGCCGACCACGGCTTTTCTCGTCTGCTCGGTTTCCTCCGCCGCCGACGCCCTCACTGTGTAACCGAAGGAGGCTGTGACATCGCCACGACTGTACACACGACCTCAAAGAGTGTTAGTGATGAGTACAAACAGATGGCGCGGAGGTAGTTGCGGACTTCGAAACACTGCTGTATACGGAAGTCGCCGACGATGTCACAGCCTCCTCCTTCTATGCCGGCACGCAATGATTCGCTGCTCGTGGCCCACGCTGTGTTCTTCCAACGTCGTTCCTAAAAGAGGCAACCACATGTAGCGCTTTTTCGAAGCTAACCTGGCGTCTGCATCTTGTCGTGAGATTTCTGTACCAAAAAACAAAAAAAGAGTACCAGGCGCTACGGGAAACGTAGAAGGAAACACCCCATGTGTTCAGTCGTGCGTTGCGAAACGGACGATGAACTACGTCGAAGGTAACGTCGCGAATGCGTCTCACGTGGTTTGCCGAATCTGTGTATTTTGCGGAGCTGCAGAAAAGCCGGCTTCGCGAGGCGCATACACTGCTGCCTCGCACCGCCAGGGGGCTGATACTCTCGCGGCACGCATCGACACGTCCGTGCCCGCAACCACTGTGGTTTTCAGAGATACATATATACACACATATATAAGCAAATATATTTAAGAACAAATATCTATATATATATATACGGGTACCCGCATAAGTACGCACGTACTCAATATAGGAGAAGGTTATATAAAAATAAGTAATAAAATGAATAAAAGATGCTAACGGATGGAGTGTTGACAAAATGTGTGAAAAGCACAAAAAAAAAAAGGCCGGTGCCCAAACGCATTTTGTTTTTACCTAGCAGGCAGCTCTCATCTGTCGCAAGTGGCTGTCTGCGGTGCCGTATGCAGGAACAGAAATGTCGGTCGAAGCAAAAGAGAACTCGGAATTTCTTTCAAAGCGTTTGTTTAGCGTCCGAAATGTAATACAAGGGTCGAGAAATGTGAGAAATCGTTATTTTACATATACATAAAAACGAGCTGCGAGAAATTGTGAAAACGCGCAATAACTTCGAGGTCGAACGAGTTCGAGGTAAAGCTAGGTAATAGATACGCACTGCACAGCAAGATTACTGTAAACGTGTAAGTCATTTAGCTTGTTTTTTTTTTAAAAAGTGCACAGCGGGAAAGTGTATAGTTTCAGCGTCACTTCAATTTCGTGCGGAATTCACAGGGACGTTTTGTTTTCTCCCTCAGTTCTTCAAGGCATTTCTTTTCGCTCTGACAAATGTTCCACGAGTTTTTAGGCCTAAATTTTATGGATATAATTTTTTTTCGTACTTGTCCACATTTTATGGCTGTAATACTATCTCGTTGTAAAGACAAAATATAAAGTTAACGTTTAGGCTCTATGTCTTACCTCTACGTCACACGTCTGAGAGAACATATATTTTGGAGCATTTTGTCTTATTACTTAATTTATTTTCGTTAGACTTCGAAACAGCTGCCACAATACTCGTCTCCCCTCTAAACACACACTCACGCACTCAAAACCAAGTCTTCGTCATTTTACGGGGACATTAGTGAAAAAAAAAGTGCAGCAATGGCCGCTATGGAACATTATTCTGTTCATTAATTTCACGAATCAACCTGGTGTCGATCACCTTTTGACTCTGACTGCGTCAATTCTGTAGGCCCACGCATTTTCTCCTTACGCCTTAATTTACATCAAAGAGGGGAAAAAACAGTGTGCAGAAGTATTTCATCAGTCACACAATTTCACCTATTTATTCTTTCATAAGATCACTTCTTTAAAAACGAAAAAAAAAGGTGTTATTTAGTCATGAAGCCGCTGAGAATGCATGCTAGCATAATTATGAACTAATATTTCAGGGACTTGAACTTAGACGGCGCACCGTCTATTGGTCACGCTGTCGAGCGGCATCCTCCAATCGTGGCCTCCGAGATTGGCTTTGACAACTGCTCATCGCCGGAGCTAATCACGGAGGCCACGTGCAAATCGCATCAACGCGAGACACAGGCTTGAATTTACACTGGCGGGGCCCCCTTGCATCTATTGAGAGGTAGAAACGCGTCACAGTGCTGTCGTGGCGCAAAGAACGCAAGAAAATAATAATAATAAAAAGAAAAGCAGTCACGGCATAATGGTAAGAGTGCTATAGGTGCCCTGCGTTCGGGTCCTGCTGTAAACAATTTTATTGTACTCATTTTAATTGCACTATAAATAGGTTTCACACAATATTTTTATTTGCGTATCATTTCATTTTAGTACTTACTATTTATTTTTTAATGCCTGGCAGTCCTGCAATCACAAGCAGACAACTCGGACAGATTTTTGCAGCACTTCTCTCTCATAGCAATGTTAGGTTATGCTTAGGCATTAAAATAAATGTAGGCAAGAAATCCAAGCACTCGGAGCAAAGCATTCCTTCAAGCTTCTACATAGTCAATTATTAATGAACAAAGCACCACGTAGTAAAAGGTTATGCTCGTATTTTATTATTTCCGCCTAGCCTGTTCCGTCTCAAAATATTTTTCGCATTTGCTGCATTACTGCTCGGCTATCCTCATTTTGCGCAGGCTTCCATGAGTTTTGTTACGTGTTACAGACAGCCACGTTATTCAGACACAATCATTCTCGCGAAATACACTCCTGTCTCACAACAAGAACACAGATGTGAAAAATAAAGAGAAAATGAAAATATGATGTGAAGTATACAGTGCACACGACTATATACGACGAATCTCTCATCGCTGAAAGTACATATATAACAATTTAAAAAACGGGCACGAAGTAAGCTTAATGAGCTTAATTGATGCTGGAAACAAGCACACAATATAGAAAGTCAATGACATTGTATAAATACTGTTTGAATAATTGGCATTGTTTGTGTGTATTAAACAATATCAAAAAAGACTGACAAAAGTTGTTTTTTTTTTTCAACGATCTTGAACGGTACGAAATCATCCTTCTGAATAAGATGGTTTCTCCCGACTGTATTTTTGTATTATGGTGTGAGCATTCGAACGGTGATGAAATGGTAGATGATTTGAGGTGCACACTCGCAACATGACATTCGTGGCACAGTTTGTGCTCTTCTCTGTTGCTACTTTATCCACGTATGTGTTACGTTGAAAACACAGACTCTGCATGATCTAGATAGAAAAAAAAAGAACTCAACATTAAAGGAGTGCAGACAGTGTGTGTGATCAAACATGCGCATGCATTCCCACATTCCCATTTGATAAGGCGCTCAACATGCCGCGAAGTCTGTAAAATTCTCATATAGATATTACATTGTTGTTATATTGCTATTATTGGGATAATCTGTAGTCGTCTTAAGCTCCCCAAGTGGCATTGCGTGTTCGTTCGACATTCCGGACCTCGTTTAGGAGCGACATGAATCCGCATTGTACCTCGTTCAGTGCTCGCGAGTGTTTAAGGCAAGTGCGTCTCACGTTGAAGCTGTGGCAGTGTTGTACGAGTGGTGTCTTCGTGGTCGCTTTCACGCATGCTGCACCCGGCAACGCGCTTCTCTTCTGCTTGCTCGTCACCGCGAAAAGATGGTTCGCGTTGGAGATGACAAAACGAACGCCTGTATGCTTGAGAGATGTATTCGCTCGTGTGTGTCTCAATAAAGCAATTCACTGAAGCAAACGCCATCTTTTAATGCCGTTTCCTTTGTGGTCTCTCAGCGAACGAATGAATGAATGAGCACAGACGTTGCAATGCAATGCACCAACCAGCGAACGCACGTCGCATTGGATCGCACACCAGGCAATGAAAGAAATTCAGCGACGATTACAGTAGTCCCTAACGCGAATATCGTGCGCAACTTGGTGTTGTAAAGCGTTCGATGGGTCTCATTACAGTAGCTGGCTCACGCTGTCACCCACATAGCATATGTCCTTTTTTTTTTCTTTCATTTCAAGTGAGGAAGATGCGTTGTTGTAAAAAGAAACACGGGGTTATTTACATATTTACGCGACAGAGAGAATGAGCATTCAACGAACAACATTTCTATACAGATGTATCCGGATTTAACAGCCCCTCGTCTGCCAGCAATGAGACATCCGGTAAGTAGTGACAGCAGTTCCTGTCAATCCGGTGTCTAGACGTCTCGGTGCTCAACCCCCAAGAAAGGGTGAAGAAATCGGGCCACTCGATACATCCGTTTATGAGGAGCATCGACCGAGATGTGGTAATACCAAGTGCACCACACAATGAAGACATACCCGCACCAAGCCTCGGCAACTCGCATACGGTGAATGCCAGGCGAGGGAGTCCGAAAAATGAGTGAGGGAGGGGAAGAGTCAACGACCTCAGAGGAGTCGGCCGGTTGTCTCGAACACCTGTAGGCGATTGTCGCGTACCATCAACATCCTTGCCTTGTTCACATGGTGAAATTCATCGTGCTTGTGGCTGGATAACCGAGCCAGCACATCGTACCTATATACTCGCACCAGGCATGGGCAGTGCAGAGCAACGAACAGTAAGACGCAGTACAAACGAAAGACAGCGCGCTTTCCTCCGTTTCAGCAGGCTCCCACCTAGCGCCATCCACACGCGGACTTGTTCCATGGTTCAATGCTGACTTTCTAAAAAAGCATTAGCGCAACACTTAGTACCTAAACTGTCTTATGGGCTCTCGGGAGTCTGGCTAGTAATAGAACCCCAAATGGTCGAAATTTCCGGAGCCCTCCACTACGGCTTCTCTTATAATCATATGGTGTTTTGGGGACGTTAAACTCTACATGTCAATCAATTATTCGCTTTTAGTAGACCGGGTAAAGCTATATTTGCAAAATCGTAGGAGAGTAGCTTGTCTCGTCGTAGATCGGAGCGTAGATCGTAGGTCTTTGTCATTAAATTACGCCATTAAAAGTGGTAGGTGCTCTCCGTTGCTACGCCGTGTACTCTCGGCGTAAGAAATGCACTCGCATTTCCTCACGATTCTCTTCGGGGAATGTGGGGGCATTTTTTTTATGCAGCTTGATTGCAGCGTTTGGAAAATGAAAAAGAAAAATGGTAATGGTGCTCAAAAGCCGTGGGGGCGGAGTCCGGTTCTCGAAACAGTCTAGCAAAGACAGGTGCTCACGGAGCCCATGCGCATGTTCTCGTTCGTTTGGCCGCGCTGCTCTGTTATGCGGCACCTACCAACTCGGCGCAATCAAAAGAAATGTACCGCTGGGCCAAACTGAAAAAAGTCACAGTTGCACCGCAAAAACGAAGCAATGAATGCAATAGCAGCAAATCATGTTATACGAAGCAATGGTGAAGCAATGAATGCGATAGCAGCAAATTGTAATGTTATACGAAGTGAGGCTGGCAGCAAAGTCTTGGAGCCGAT